CGAGAGGAGATCGAGACCACAATCCAATTGCTCACGGAACGCGCTGCTACCCTGCATCCAAAGGCACCAGCTCTTCTACCGCTTCCTCTTTATTCTGGCCTCACAACGGATCAGCAGATGTACGTCTTCGAGCCAGCCCCCGAAAACACACGCAAGGTCATTGTGTCGACCAACATCGCAGAAGCTTCAGTCACTATCAACGGTATTGTATACGTCGTCGATTGCGGATTTTCCAAGCTCAGAGCCTATAATCCAAGCACAGGCATAGAGACATTGACGGCTGTCCCGATTTCAAAAGCAGCCGCTGTTCAGCGAGCAGGTCGCGCTGGTAGAACGAAGCCAGGCAAGTGCTTCCGTCTGTATACTCAGCAGGCCTACGAAAGATTACCAGACGCTACCGTTCCTGAAATCCAACGCTCGAACCTGGCCCCTGTGATCATGCAGCTCAAGGCCCTGGGTATTGACAATATAGTACGATTCGATTTCTTGACACCGCCTCCTGCGGACTTGGTGATACGTGCCTTTGAGCTTCTATACTCGCTCGGAGCAGTGGATGACTATGCGAAACTTACCAATCCATTGGGGATGCGAATGGCCGAACTCGCCTTAGATCCCATGATGGCAAAAGTCCTCCTCAGTGCGCGATCTTTCGACTGTTTGAGTGAGATTCTTTCTATCGCTGCTATGATCAGTCTCCAAGGTTCTGTGTGGGTGCAGCATGAAGGCGATAAGAAGTCGGCGGAGATCAGTCGCAGAAAGTTTGCCGTTGAAGAAGGGGATCACTTGACCTACCTCAATGTGTACCAGGCGTTCGTCACGAAAGGAAAGAAAGATCCGAAATGGTGTCGGGATAATCTCCTAAATTATCGGTCGATGCAACGAGCTGTTAGCATAAGAGCTCAATTAAAACGCTACCTTGAGCGCTTTGGGATTCAAGCGGATGAGACTCTCCCTGGTCGCCATGGAACGGCCGATCTAGCCAGACCGGCCGAGCAAATTCAAAGATGCCTGACAACGGGCTACTTCGCACATGCTGCAAAAATGCAGCCAGATGGGACTTTCAAGACGGTCAGCGGAGGGCTTACTCTACATGCGCATCCAACCTCGCTAATGTTTGTACGTGCTTGCCATTGCCAGTCTCTGTGATCATGCTTCTCCTATTTACTGACTTATTGATCTTTAGAACCGCAAAGCAGACTGGGTCATCTTCCATGAGATTTTGCAAACCGGTGAGAAAACATACATTCGTGACATCACCAAGATCGAGAAGAGCTACCTGCTCGAGTATGCTCCGGATTTTTACAAAGTCCACTGAATCTTTCCCTGTGGAGCATTGAGTCTAGGAGCTGATAATCCGAGAGGCGCAAGCTAGCAGACAGTGTGCAGAAATTCGTTGCCATATAGTCTCAATCGGTAATCGGCTTTAACATAGGCTTCGTGATAGACTGTGTATAATGAGGTTCATATTGTTGACACAGTGATATTGCGACTCGTGCAGTGTGGCAAGAGAAAATGTTGAATATCTCATGACGATACCCAGTAGATGAATATTTTTTATAGATAGCATGCTTGGAGTGAGAACATGGTAGGTAATCTCAGTGATTTTCATTCCGTCGGATCTCTACATGTCCAGAATTGAGACAACTATTACGCCCCGGATATCACAAAAGGTCCGCCGTTCTTTCAAGGCCAACGCAATACTCTTAAGGTAAATCTTGAACTCAACAATCGATAGTCGTCTCGAATAGAAACCAACAACGAAAACCTTCTGATACCCTTCTCTCCTTGACATCAAAATGCCAGGACATCACCACCACCATCATAACCATGGCGGACATTGCCATGGAGAGGATGGACACGATCATTCGAACGATATCACCCCTGCCATTCAGTCCCTTCTTTACTCACAAATCGCCTTCGATGCTATTACCACATTGAACGGTATGACTAGCTTTTCATATTTGGTCGTTTGCAGACGTGGTTGTTGATGCAAAGCGCAGAAGCAACACCTAAATCAGGAACTGCTATTGTGCAGAAGACATGGGCTGACAGATTAAACGATGAGCCGGAACTCGAAAGCGATGCGGATGAGCAGCTCTTAATGCATATCCCGTATGTCTCGACGTCTATTCCTTTAAGTTGAAGCTCTGCTGGCCTCTCTCTGATCCTTCTCATGTTTTTGCTTTACCCCGCTGATTGCCCCTCATCTTACCAATGCTTGATTGTCACAAAACGCACCAGTGCCACAGAAGCCAGCCCTGCCGGAAAAAGCTGTCGGGGATGGAGTAATACTGATATCTATGGTACTGCAGGTTCACTGGACAAGTCAAAGTGCACTCCTTGCTCATCTACACTGCACCCACACCATCTGCACCCAAAACCTTGAAGCTCTTCAAGAACCGGAATGATCTAGATTTCGCAACCGCCTCAGATTTGACACCGACGCAAACAATCGAGACCCCACAGCCAGTTGCTGGGTCTGACGTTTTTGAGCTGCCCCTCAATCGTGCTCATTGGAATGCGACTACCTCGATCACCTTGTTCTTCGAAGACAACTGGAGCGGGGGAGAAGAGGATGTGACCAAAGTTGGATATATCGGTTTCAAAGGCCAGTACATGGCTCTGAACCGTGAACCGGTCAGTTTCCTCTATGAAGCTGCTGCAAATCCTAGCGATCATGTAGCCATTCCGGGTGTCAGCGGTGTAGGAAAGAGAATAATGCCCGGTCAATGAATCCTTCAGCTCCATGACCGCAAAAGATGGCGGACCGGACTACAGATAGCTAATATAGAACTGTTTCCATGTGTCACCTTGCTTTTTTGGCATGACTCGACTCGATTATGTACATGACTTCAAATGAAACTAATGAGATGAAACTCGAGTCTGCTGTATAGTACAGCAATTCGATCGAGAATACTACCGATGCAAGTTTTAAGCTCTCATGGCTGGGATACTATCTCCAGAGAAGAGGAGAGCAATGAAAGATGGACAAAACCACCAGCGCCCGAAAATGCTTGAGTCTCTGCTGTATATATGATGAGATTGGCAGAAGTGTACGACATGCGTACATCAGGAAGCTGGAACTGCAGTACGCGTCTTCATCCTGGCGGCCGCAATCTCTAGTTCCTCTTTGTCGCCTTCTTCTTCGCCCTCAGCCATAACTGGAGGCGCGGTAGGGACCTTTGGCAAGGTGATAGCCTCTGTCTCTTGCCGTAATCTCTCCAACTCGTCCTCGACTTCGTCTTCATCCTGGTTCGACAACTGGCCCGCAAGCATCTGGCTAATTTCCTGTAATGGCATGCGGTTAGCACAACGATTGCCCATTCACGGCGTTCAGGTCCACGTCTCTTTACCTCTTGGTAGGCCCTGGCTTCTTCAGTTTCGCCCATCAGCTTCTCTACAGCTTCGATGCCTCCCATTTCCTTGTTGATAGCTTGGAGCACCCGTGTTCCCTGTTGCAAGCCAAAAAGAACATCTTTCTGGACCAAGGAAAATTCCACCTGACTCGTCAGCTGCTCCAGCTGCTCCAGCTGCGCATCTGTTTTACTTAGGAGTGTCTCCTGATATTTCTTACGACGGAGAGCCAGTAGGGCACGTCGGCGGTCATCTCGCGCAAGACATTCCTTTGCAATGGCAGTCTCGCGGTCTGTGAGGACAGTGATTCGTTTCTGATACTGACGAAGCTTATCGCGCTGATTCTTCAGATCGAGAATGGCCCTAAATTCCGACAGTTTTCTTCGTTAGTAGTCATTCTGCAGGCGGTCCAGAGCATGGCAAGGAGCCAGTGGGACAGCATCGCTGCTGGCGTCACATGCGGTCCGTGGTAGGGTGCTCAGATTGCACAATAACAGATGGGGAGTAGCTAAAAGATGAGAAAAGGGCAACCTTACCGATCCTGAGCAGAGACCTTATGAGAGCTGCTTGTGTTTCCCATTGTCACAGCATATTGGCAGTGTCAACCTGGAGCGTAGATAAGTCGGCGATAATTACCTTACGGATATCTTACCCCAGAAAGTCAAACACACTGGAAAATGACGTACACTCTTCAAAACTCTCAGTGCGGCGTAAGGAAAAATACCATGCGCGTATGGAATTTTCCCTGGGGGAGTGATAACCAATCAGACAAGCGGACTCTGGTCCCTCGTGGTATTTTAAATCTTGGAGAAAGCCGACTACGGTAAATCTATTTCCCCGATGGCCCAAAAAAATATAGAGAATCGGAGGATTTCCTATTAGATTGATATCGCTATTAGTGTCACCATTGGACGGGACTGTTCTTGCGCAGACAGCCCCTGCGTCTGAAGAAGATGCGTCAGTCCCGTGGGGGTAGGTCGACTCTGAGGCAAGGCTTGGATCGCGAAGTGAGGAGAGACCGAAAATAATGCTCGCCGCGTTTGCGGACATCTATAATGAACTGACTTTCTGTCCTAGGTTTACCAGATTGTGCGCAGAATCGTTGATGATCAGGGAGAGGGCGACAGGATCCGTCTCTCGGTGTCCGCAATCTATGATACCATCAAGCGATCAAATTCCAGTCTGAACAGGAAGCCGAAGAGGATATTAGAGGATAGTATCGAAAGGGTCGTGGAAGTGGTTAAAAGCGACGTGCTCGGCGAAGATGAAGGAGATTCTGTGAATGGCGACTTCGAGGGCCTGGAGGAGCAAGCACAACCTGTTCCGGTACGCGACACATGAACATCTCTCCATGCTTGCATTTCTGACGATCACAGGAATCCAACAGCCTCAATAGGAGCATTGTAGGCGCATGGAATACCAACTCGAAACCGCAAAAGTCAGCCGAACCAAGTGGTACCGAAAGCGCACCTACGCCTGCACTAACCTCGACCAAGCGACGACAACATGGAGGCGAATGTCATTCGTCTAAACGACGAAAGGCCGATGTCGCGGTTGATCGCTCGCCTCCGACACATGTGAGCCTTGCGGACCTGGGTGGATTGGACGACGTGATTCAGAGCTTGGGAGATCTCCTCATCCTACCGATGACCCGTCCACAAGTTTTCGTGTCGTCAAATGTTCAGCCACCCCGCGGTGTGCTATTGCATGGTCCGCCAGGTTGCGGTAAAACAATGATAGCCAATGCGTTCGCGGCAGAACTAGGCGTTCCATTCATCCCAATATCTGCCCCATCCATTGTGTCGGGAATGTCGGGAGAGTCCGAAAAGGCCCTACGAGAGCATTTTGAAGAAGCCAGAAGGATTGCGCCTTGCCTCATTTTCATCGACGAAATCGACGCCATCACCCCGAAGCGAGAAAGTGCACAAAGAGAGATGGAGAAACGGATTGTTGCTCAGCTCTTAACATGCATGGACGATTTAGCACTGGACAAAACTGACGGCAAGCCCGTAATTGTTTTAGCAGCTACCAATCGACCGGACAGTTTGGACGCAGCCCTGCGTCGCGGGGGTAGATTTGATAAGGAAATCAACATGACTGTCCCCTCAGAACCAGTCAGAGAGCAGATCCTGAGGGCGCTCACTCGAAAAATGCGCCTCGCTGACGACCTAGACTTCAAGACTCTGGCCAAACGGACACCGGGCTTCGTCGGCGCTGATCTCAACGACTTGGTCTCCACCGCAGGCTCTGCGGCTATCAAACGATACTTGGAACTACTCAAATCGAATAGTGGGGAAGAGATGGACATAGAAGATCCAGATGATCTGAGCCCTAAAGTCAAAGAGCTGCGACGGCTTATCAATCACGCGAAGGAGACCCCCATGGATGACGAGACACAGACGGTCTTTGTCTCCAATGCAGACTTTTTTACCGCTCTTCCCAAAATCCAGCCGTCCTCCAAGCGTGAGGGCTTCGCCACTATACCAGACACTACATGGGCAGACATTGGTGCTTTGGGAGGGATTCGCGAAGAACTCAATACTGCGATCGTGGATGCAATCAAGTCTCCCGAGCTCTATGCGAACGTGGGTATTACAGCGCCCACGGGCGTCCTGCTTTGGGGTCCCCCCGGTTGTGGTAAGACGTTGCTGGCCAAGGCTGTGGCCAACGAGTCGCGCGCCAACTTCATCAGTGTGAAGGGACCTGAATTGCTCAACAAGTTCGTGGGTGAGTCAGAGCGTGCAGTACGGCAGGTCTTTGTTCGTGCCCGCTCGTCAGTCCCCTGCATTATTTTCTTCGACGAACTTGATGCGCTGGTCCCCCGCAGAGATGATGCTCTGTCCGAAGCTTCCGCACGTGTCGTCAATACCCTGCTCACCGAGCTTGACGGCCTCGGCAGCAGTCGTCAAGGTATCTACGTGATTGCCGCCACAAACAGACCGGATATCATCGATCCCGCAATGCTTCGTCCAGGTCGTCTTGAAACGCTTCTCTACGTCAGCCTGCCTAATCCCTTGGAACGTGTGGAGATTTTGCAGACCCTCGTTCGCAATCTTCCTATCGAGTTCAACGAAGATATGAGGAGGCTCGCCGAAGAATGCGAAGGATTCAGCGGTGCGGATCTGGGAAGTTTGCTGCGCCGTGCCGGTTACTCTGCGATCAAAAGACGTGACAAGATCAAGTTCGAGGATTTCGTTGCGGCTAAGGCTTTCATTCGGCCCAGTGTTACCGATCTCAAAAAGTATGAGAAGCTCAGGAGGGAATGGAGCGGGGGCGTTTTGTAGATATTCGACTAGAGTCGCGTACAAAGTCAACGAAAGTATTGGGATAATGGTCACGTACTGAAAGCTCTCCATGTGCAGATGCTGTAAATCTCCTCGCTTGCTTGGAAATTTGCGATTGATGAGTCTACCAATGGCTCATTTTCCTCGTAATATTCCAAAAAATCCGAAATCGGGCTGGGGAAGTAGGTTGCTTGGATCATCCGACGAGGACCTAATTTCGAGGAAAACATTTTTTATAAGGACAAAAACTTTTATAAAGCGGATATATCTATTGAAAAAGATGATGCACACCAAGACGCCTCTCATGTAGACATGACATGATAAACTAACAGTTGGAAAACCCAATAATATACGCTTCGAAGTCGACATGTAATTACATCCACAGGCGGCAAGTTCCATCCGCGCCTGCACTGACACACCATGGTTCTCTGGGATGCCAGTCGATGTCCAACACACCGAGCTCGCCAGTGATTTTGTGTCCCTTGAGAACCTTGAGCGGTACAATGGTGGCATTGCTGAGCATATCTCCTGTAACACTACCGTGGAAAATTTGGAGCGAACCGTCGTCACTGGCATCTGCAAACAGGGGGTAGCGGCCACCTGGGTGGAACTTGACGGCACGGATGGCCTTGCGGTGGTAGCGCAGCGTCTTGTAAGGACGCTGGGACAGTTCAAGATCATGCCAAAGGAGACGGCGATCATATGAACCGACAATAAGATTGTCTCCACCGGAAGCGGTGGAAGAAGTCGGGTGGATGTCGAAGGAAGAAATCCAGCGGGCACCAGGTTGTAGAATCTTGACGAGAAGTTGACGTGAAAGGTCGTATGCGCGAATGCTTCGCTGGTTTGCGACAAAGAGGATCGGTTTCGAGGGGTGGAAGTGAGCAGCCTGAGGAGGACCACCGCCCTTGATACGCCGGCGGAAGGGGTACTGAGTCAGATGCTTGGACAGAGTGTGGATGGCAATGGCCACGGAAGCTGGTGTTGATGAGCCGGGGCAAACCGTGACAAAGTAGTCACCACGGCGATGCCACGAAATGGACTTGACAACGTAGCGAAGAGGGATGACAGCGCAGACTCCCAAATCAGCAAGGGTCGACGAAGGACGTATCCACTTGGGAGGGTTGTTCTTCTTGTTTGCTTCCGCACCAGTGGGAGGAGGGACAGATGCAGCATAACCCCAGCCCGCATCCAGAATGTCCATGCTAGCCTTTTCAATTTCTGGGTCGACAATTGGAGGAACAGCAAGGAAAATGTCGTCGCCAGCCGCCGCAGCGAGGATAAGAGCATCCTTGCCCGGTCTCCAACGAACCACATTAACGGGGTCTTCCTCGCTCAATTTCACATTCCACAATTGACGGCCCGTAAGAAGTTCCCAAACACGAACAGTTCCGTCATCGCCACCAGTAGCAAGCCACAGGCCGGAAGGATCAACAGCCAGCGTACGCACACGACCCTTATGCCCTCTGAACACGGTAGCACAAGCAGTGGGGAACGGTTTCAACTCTTCGGGGCTCGGAAGCTTGGGCAAAAGGCTTTCAGGGTCGATGTTCAACTTGCTCCTACGAACTCTAGGGGCCAGGTAAAGATCCAGGCACCGCTCGAACTTCTCCTTGACAAAGTTTTCATAGCCAGGAACTCTGCGCAAAGAACCGAAATCGTTAGGGAGAAACTCCTGGTCTCGGTCTTCAGGGTCAGCTTCCTCCCAAGCCTTTCGTTCCTTCTTATCAGGCAGATACTCTGGAGGCGGATGGTAACTTTCCTCATAGCCTGGAGGCGGAAGTTTAGGCGCAGGGATATGCATAGGATGATCCGGTCGCTCCGCTTCATCGGCCCACAGATCATACTTGATGACAGTGTCATCCTCCTGATCCCCTTCCGTGGGGGGCTTGAACGGGAGAATCCGGCCTTCTCTGATTGCCTTCACAATCTTCATAACCCGCTTAGCTTCGTGTTTCGAGGGCACAAACCGCCGTTTGGGTTCCGGCGCAGCACTCAATGGCATGATTTCCTGCTGACTGGTAAACCATTCAACTGTGGGTTCGTATGGGTTGTAACCATCTTCGGGAATTTCGTTCATTTGCACTTTGCGCAGCAGCTCCAGCTCATCCTGGCTCAGCTCCAGAGGCTTGCCAGTGGAAGGATCAGTAAGCCCTGTCCAACCCTTAGGTATCTCAATGCTATCAAGGAGCGCATCTAAAGCTTCGCCTTTCGCGGGCCGCAGAATCTTCTTCCCGTTGATGTCGTAACCGATATGAGGATACTGATCGTAGAATGAAAGAGGAATGTTGCCGATGGTGTTTGAATTTTCGTCGACATCAGAATATTCAGAATTATCGTCCGGATTGATCTCGTCGTAGATGAAGCGGTCATTCCCATTGGCATCCTTTTCAATTCGATAATTCAACGGTTCTCCCTCGCTCGAGCTCTCACCATCATCCACCGTTGTGCCAAGTTCACCAGGCGTGGTGTTTGACTTTTTCTTGGCTAAATCCTCTCCATCCGAGGGAATCTCGTCACTGTCAAGTTCGTCTTCCTCTTCCTCGTCTTCTTCATCACTGAAGTCATCGATCAACTCCACCTCCGAATCGCTCTCATCCTCGTCACTGGACAGGTCGTTGGCGTTATCCGAAAGCGCTCCGTCAAGGTTGTCTGTGTTCAATTCATCTCCAGAAAACACGCCTGCCTCCTCCTCCACATCACGGGTAACTGCCTTGCGCTTCTTGGAAGCTTTGGAACCATCCATATTTGCGAAGAGCCGTTGCGTTCTTCCAACTAGAAAGCTTTGAACGATGAGCTGCAATTTTCACGCAGCTTTTTTTTTTTCTCTCTGTTTTTGCTTTTCCCCGAAAATGAGAGTGCTGACCGCCCACGTGATACACCGCCTCGATAGCCCTCATCTTATCGCCTTTCGCTGTTCTTTCATGAATAGATCAATCTCCCGCCGTCATCATTATTTTGTTATTCATTGCCGTACGTCTTCAGCACTATGGTTATGACTGACGAACAATTTTGAACTCCTCCAATACTGTTTTGTAAAATCCCCATCCACGTCATTCAGCATGCAGGACGATAGTTTCGAATGGAATCAACCTCTCCCTCCTTGCAGTAGTAGTCATGACACCACCTCGGTACCGCCTTTGAAAAGACATGCGGCTTGTGACGAGTGCAGTAGGTACTCCTCGATGGAGGATCGTTCTCAAGTCAACTCCGAGGCCTGACAAGCGTCAATAGGGAAACGAAAGTTGAAATGCTCCGGCGAAGCTACGGGCTGTAGTCGTTGCCTTAAACAGTCCCTTGCTTGCCACTATTCATTACAGAAGCAGATGGGACGGCCACCGAAAAAGCGCCCCCGTGAGGACAACGATGTATCCCTATACGGGACGTCAGACAATGGGATGTGGGCTGATATAGATGATGCTCGGATTCTGACTGAAGCCGGGGCCGAAGCTACAGCAGCATCAGATGCCCTGCGAATTTGTCCTCCAGTGTACACCGCACCCCTGCGAATGCCACAGGCCTTTCCTAATCTATTATCTACTGACGATAGCCACAATCACCTATGGCAATTGGAGCACGGTAGATCGCTCAACCCTGTCCCTGCGACTACCGGTCCTTGGCCTGATTTCTCCAGCGTAACGGCCGCAACTTCGTGTCCGTTCACATTACCGTCGAGCTTGACGCAGATCGATTCTCCTCCTATATCATCCCCCGGCTCAGAAGGCAGTAACAGTTCTCAGTGTACTTGCTTATCATATTTGTATCTATGTCTCAGTCATCTTTCTTCCCTTGCTCCCTTCCCAATATCTCAACACACGTTGTGTTCGTTATTTATCGCTGCCAAAACAGCGCGGGCTGTCATTCGCTGTGAAGTCTGTCCCACAAATTTTGCTTTGGGAATGCAGAATGTCATGTTTACTGGAACTCTCTTGAACGTCGTTGCGGATGCCTGGCTGCGAGTGTCGAAAGCTGATGCTGAAGAACTCGGCAAGTTAGCAGCCCCGGCAGCTTATGTGGCCTCAGTGACGCAGAACTCCCCAAGTCCCGCAGAGACTTGGAAGGACTGGCTTCGACAAACTGTCAGAAGCGCTATTACAGGTGGCCCGGTAGATCCTGCTGGTCGGGTGAAATGCTCGGATTCGCCCACATTACTTTCTCTCATTGAGGAAATGGAAGCACGCCAGCACAGATGGCATCGATCTCGAACATTCGAGTCCCCAAACAAACCCAGATCTTACTCACCGATCCACTCAGAGGACCGTCGTGAAGAAGATCTGCTTTGTTTTCGTGTAATCCGAAGCGCCCGAGACGTTATAGACAAGTTCGAATTCGCACCGCACGAGTACCCGGAGGGTGCGGTTCCATTATGAGCGGTCTATTTGTTTATCTATGTTATTGCTTAGGTGTCATGTTCTTTGTGGATTAGGCAATAATTTATGCTTGGGAGTCAAGGCTTGCGGGGGATTTGTACTGGGCGCGATGTCATACTGTGCCATATACCACTTCTATTTGCTGCCTTATGGACCAGGTCGATCAATACTATCTTACTCATGCCTGACTCGCGCTTCCGGTATTTACAATGGAGCAATACATGATTCTGATGGAGCCTTTTAGTCGGGTAAGAACCTGCGTAGAGCGGCGGAGATCTTTGTATACAGAGGCGACAATGGACGATGGATCTTCATCACGGATCTTAATTTTCTCGTTTCTAGATACAATTTCATTGACTCCGAGAGGTTGTTACAGGTTGCAGGGTCATTAATTAGGAGAGCGTGGTCAAGACGCCAAGGATCATTCGGGAGCGTGCAAATGGCCAAGGATCGAAGACTATTCATCCTCATCGTCATCATCATCAACGATGTAGCGATTCTTCTTCCTCACCGGTGGCGTTCCGGATGCTCCTGCTTCCGAAACATGTCGCTCTGGTGATGGCCGCTTTTCTTTGGTGGATCTCTGGGCAGGGACATCATCTTCCTCTTCGCCTTCTGCATCCATCTCGTCATCCTCGAGGATTTCCTCATCGTCATCGTCTTCAACAATCTCAGGCTCTTCGTCACTGCCGACAAGGAAGCCATCGTCTTCGTCGTACTCATCTTCCCTCGTCCGTCCGCGACGATCGTAATCTTCTTCGTCATCGGTATAAATTTCACCACGGCGATTGGGTTTGCGAGGCTTGCGTGCACGGGGTCGCGTTGTGAGTAGGCCGTCGTCATCTTCTAGACCACCTACGGTCAGGCCAGCACCACCTGAGCGGTGGGAGAAGCCGACACGACGACCACGATCGAGCTCACGATCTGCGAGCTGCTGACGGCGACGCGCAGCCTTGAGTTTCTCGCGCTCCGCCATTTCGGCCTGTCGCTTGGCCAGTTCAGGGTCTTCCTTAACCTCAATGACTGGCGCCGATCCATCCGCTGTCTTTTTGCTGCCTCGCGCAGCCGCAGCCAGAGACTCTTGCAGACGCTGCACTGCATCGTCAGTCTCCACGGTCGTAGGAAGAACAGTAAGACCATGAGTCAGATGTGAGGTCAGTCGGAAAACCGACGAGGTCTCTGCAGCTGCTCCCAAGTAGACATGTGAATCCAGTTTTGTATCGTATTCGCCTGCCTTGTTTGTGGGTGCCAGTGGCTTGGTGGATATTCTGTACTGCTCCTTGGGTGCCGACGCAAGCTGGAGCGTTAAAGATCCATCTTCCCACCGGATAATTCTAGCGTTTGACTGCAGAAGAGATTCGTCGTTCGGGTCATGACGCCAGCACAGAGAAGTCGCCGCAGTAGCGAATGGAGGCGCAACGTACGTTTCCGGGTTGAATTCCTCTATCTCTATCGACAAGAAATTTGGCACTGGCATTGTATAGACCTGCGTGTCTAGAGTCAGCCAACAGGGTAGCACGTTCTCCTTCGGCCCTACTCCCACATACCTCGCCATTTGAAGTCACTGGCTCAGGCGCCCGGCCTAAACTCAAGTCCATGATATTCACAGTTTCCTGGTAGTCCCCTTCCACGCCATCCTCATCCATGCGATCTCCGGCTCTGTCGTAGCGATCAATGTCATCTGCCGAATCTAGCTCCTCGTCGTCAAGTGTTCTTTGAGGTCGACTGACAAGAGGTCAGCATGTCTTAATACTGGAAGCAGTATAGAAGCCTCTCATACTTTTCTTCATTGCCAAATCCCCCTTCCGACCCGTCGGATCCAAACAGATCAGCATCGTCGTCACCATTCATGTTTCCCGCATCGGATCCGAAGGGACTCGGATCCCGCGCAGCGAGAGTGTTGCTGTGTTCGCTACCGACAGGGCTCTCGACTCGATCAGCAGCCGCACTTCTTCCTGGACGGCGCACCACATCTTCATCGGAAGAAGACATGATGCGTGTTTTTGAATGTGCTATGGCCCTGCTGGAGTATAAGAGATCAACAGCTATGAGCGACGCGCCAATGACGAAATCAGCCGTGCAAGGTCAGATCAAGTGTTCCGGAAGATTGAATCGCAAAATATGAACAGTCCGCTCACGCAATCGAGGTGAACTGTCAAAGTAGCACCTGTTGCGGAGCTTTCGTCGGAGGAACAGCCATCGAGATTGGGCTATTCAGTCCTTTGATTGTCTCCAGGAAATTTCCGATAATCCGTTCCGGACCCAACAGGGCTTAGCGGCGGGAACAGCTCCACAGGGCCAGACCGATAGAGGAGATCAACAACTGGAGAATCTTAGAAGTGGCAGTTGTTACTATTCTCTTCCTTCTTTGTACTGTTCCTGGTGTTCTCAATTATTGCTTGGAAGTCTGGTCTAGCTGGCTATCTGTGACTCTGTGATCAACAATGGCGACCTTTTTTCAAAGTGTGTAAGTGTGCTGCGTGACTCTCTTTTGCGATGGATTTGTTCCTGTACACCCCCTTCACACCGTCCCCTGAATTCCCGATGTGGCAGCAGAATGATCAGACTCGGCGCTGCAGATGCACAAAGGAAACTCTCCTGCACCTGAGCCTGCATGAATTCTTTACTCGTGCTTTTTTCTTTGCGCTCCTTGCACTACCTCTTTTGAGGACGTCTCACTCAACCTCTTTCTGCCCGCTCATACAGTCTCTGAGTTGTGAATTGACTTGCTGACTCGAATATTCCTCTAGTCGCCAAGGATTTGGCCGAGGTGGTAATAACAAGAATAACAATAACAACGCTCCGAAGATGAACAGCGGAAATTCTGCCCAGTCATCGGCCTCTCAACCTGTTCAAGTGGCTCCCGGACCCAATTCTCCATCATTCCCGCCGAGCATGGACAGCCCCGCCGCACCTTACGACCCTGACGCCCCCAAGTACTTTTTCCAGGAGAAGTATGCTCCTTTGAATGTAAAGGGTAACTTCCTAACCCTATGTGCTTGTCCGAAGAACGTGGAGCTTGGAGAATGGCTGGCTCATCAAAGTAAGCGATCCCTGTCCCATGTGGACAGATTGTCAGTGCTGATAGTCCGACTCCATGCAGTTGTTGAACAATACCGCCTGCTCCACGGCATGCTTCAGGTGATTCAGGAGGTCAATGGTGTCACTGGCTTGCCTATCTGCAATGAGAGCACCTGTCCAACTATGTCTGCGGGTCGGTAAGTGAAATGAAAATCCGACGGACAGAAACTTCATGCCGCCGCTAACTGAATTCCCCAATAGTTTGACCTACACTTGGCTTGTCGACGGCCGCGCCGCCAAGATCTCCGCTCCCAAGTTCATCAATCGTGTTGAAAAGTGGATCGTCAGCAAGATTCATGACCCGGTCATGTTCCCCACCGAGAAGGTCACCGGCACCCCAGAAACCTTTGCACTGCATGAAGCTACAAGTGTCAATCCTGGTAGCCCCGACGCAAACTCTACCGGCGAGGAGTGGATTGGCAAGTCCAGCGGCTTTCCTCAGACTTTCTACAAGGACTGCCAAGGCATTATGAAACAGATGTTCCGTTGCTATGCCCATATGTACCACGCACATTGGTTGAATCCGTTTTGGCACATCAACAAGCATGACATCTTGAACATGTGCTTCGTCCATTTCGTCACCGTCGCGAAATACTACAAGCTGGTTTCCGACAAGGAGATGGAGCCTATGCAGCCCCTGATTGACTTGTTCATCAAACAACAGCGTATCCCCCAGGAGGCACTTGCGGGAGGTCACTGGGGACAGCCAAGCTCTAGCTGAGCTAGAGCTTGTCTTTTTCTGACTTTGAGCGACCATTGAGCGATTGTTTGCTGACCTGCGTTGGAACTGGCATTTCATCATACGGTCATGCATTGGGATCTTAAATGATCCGCGTTTCCTATTCTAGATGCCCTTACTAGCGGGTGCTATGACCGTGTCTTTTCTTTGAGCACTTTTCCTGTTTGATGTAGATTCCTTCGAACTCTGTTTTCTGTCTGGGCTCCTGGACCATCTGCTGTCATCAATGCCTGTTCTGCTGAAATGCCACATCACTTCGAATCTCTCAAGCTCTCCTTGAGCGGTGCATACTTCCGTCGCAAGACTTTACTGCTGGGTAGCATTGTCTTGGGATATTTGCTTCTGGGGACTAGTGTGATGTGGATAGAATTTTAACATTAAGCTGAGAGAACCAGACGGGACAATCAATCGATGAAAACATATGCGTCTGTAGTTTGACTGAGATGTACTCAATTCCGAAGTTCAAGATGGGAAGTCTGTCGTTCAATCTGACAACGGTGTCATTGCACAAGAAGCCATGTGAGGAGGGACCAAGCAGCAGCGACATGACCCAATGGCGAGTGTAATCTGAGTCTGTCTATATGATAACCACAGCTGGAATCCACCGTTTACCTTCTGGCAGGTGTGTGCTTCTCTCTCTCGAGGAGTTTGTCAAAGCAACTTGGTGCCGGGCGACTGAGATTCCCCATCCAGACCAGTAACAATGAATGATGCAGTGAGGTGGAACCTCTTCCAGAGGTGCCATGTCGGTTCCGACAGGGCACAGAAGAATAAATCTCTCCAAAGCCGATCTTCTGCTGTTGGAAGGCCAACCAGCAGTAGTGATGTCTCAGAGATATACGCCCTCTTCCTCATTGGTATGCGTATCTTCCGGCCTTCCCGTCGCGTCCTGATGTGCTCTAGGCCGCTCATCCCCCACTGTACCGTTGACGATAGGCTGTGATGATAAAGATGCGGATGCTTGGTCTCCATCCCCTTTATTATCCGCTTCGACCTCCTCTTCAATCCATGACTCGCCTCGATTCTCAATCTCGGTCTTCAAGAATCCAATTCGCTCATTCATCGTGGTGATGACACCCTCGTTTTCTGCGATGTACCCTTCCAGCTCTCGCTTATCGCTTTCACTCTCACAAGACTCGTCTATGAACGCTCTGAGCTCGCTATTTGAGCGGCGCAGGTGTGCGAGGGAGTTCCTAATTTCCGAGACCTTTGCATATACCGCGGAGAGGGGTAGTTCCTTGATGGCTTCGGCGAAGGCTTCGAGGGTGATAGGCTGGGACTCTTCTGACATTTCGGCTCAGCTCAGGAACAAATCTGCTTGGTCTTGAGTAATAACAGATACCAAGGGTTCTCTTTGTCTAAATGTGATTATAAGTATTATTGGGCTATTGTGTTTGGGATCTGTCATCGCCTGGAAGACCATTCTCAGTCTTAATCTTATCGGTATTTTCACGTGACAACTATAGAATCGGTCTTGAGATGTTTGGGATGAGCAACATCCTGGTTCGAAGGGTTGTTTGCTGAGGTCTCTGATTCAAGCTATGCTGAGGTGTATCTAACAGCAGCCCCTTGATACAGTATTTCTGGGGAAAGGCTATGCTGATGTTTTATGTAGCTGAATTAGTGATAGAAACCGCAATATATTTACCGGCATAGTCTGGTTTTCCCAACGATCACCAGCCTAAAAGCTTAATTACTCAAGTGTCACTAGAGAGAACGAAGATGTATACTGATTCCCAAAGGTACTCTTACGCTCAGAAGGCCTGTTCTATGGTTTGATTCAAGAAACCATCATCTGTTCGGATAAATTGATAGGCCGCTCGGAGGTCCGCTATGTATATCGCATCCGTATGGGACTTCTCCAACACTCCCATTTGATCATCATCAACAACAACAACATCATCTAGCATATCCTTGCAGCAGGACCTCGAGTCCAAATCGCAGGATATGAGCAATGCGCTCTGCGTAGCATGGCGGACTCCATGCTCGGGGCTTGTCCCCTCGGGCTTGCTTCCGTCAAAACCAGCAATGTTCCGCTCCATCTTTTGCGATCTCCGCACTTCTCTCACATGTCGTTCGTATAGTACATATAGTACATTCAGACGACCTCTTTGTACATTGGACCAGAAACTCCATTCGGTGCCATTCCTGATCGCCAATCGATATGGTCAGACCCATTCACCGACGTCCATCAGGTCGTTCAGCACTTCTGTTCCTTTACTTTCCCAGTCCGCTCCTCCCGCTGAACATGGCGTCCCGCCTCGCCCCGAGCCCTTCTCCCCGGCTGAGATCAACAAAATTTTCGGATCCCGAGCAAAAATATCTCCGGCGATGGGCAACCGGGTCCTTGCCGTACTACACGGCAGACGTGTTGCCGGTACTCTCGACCTCGATCTGCCCAAAGACATAACTCGCTCCGTCCGCCTGTCCAGTCTCGATGCTGCCCTTGAGTGGCTGCGCAAGAACTATCCGCTTGATGAAGATGCTGCCATTCTCGCTCGTATCGAAAGAGAAGAACTCGAAGAGCAGCAGAAGCTCATTCGACGGGCCGAGGAACTGGGACTGTACAAGCCTCAATCTGGAACTTTCGGTGCTGAGCGCGGTGACTCGAACGACCCCTACGGCAAGAGTGTCCTGAAGGAAATTCGGGAGCGAAATGAGGCGCGACTTTTGGCGGAACAAGAGAGAAAGCGCAAGGAATGGCTGGAGAATGAGCACAAGGAACGAGAAGAACTGTTGCGCCAGGTCCAGCAGAATACAGCTCTGCAAAAGTTCGATGACTCTTCGGCATTAGAGGGTGAGTAGACCCAGCTGAGTTGCAGATGCCTACCATTGATGGAAATACTGATTTTACCCGGTGGCTAGTACGAGAACGCGCGGATCCTGCACAGCGTCCTTTACTCGCCTGGATTCAGAAGCACCACTTGCAAGCAACGGACTGGAATATGGAAGCGGCAGAAATGAGCACGGTGAGTGTTTCGCATGAGCTGTGACGTATCAAGAGGGACTCAGACTCATTGCTGTCAAACAGGCTCGTCGCATTCTGCCAAGCCTCGCACTCACTCTTCTCGTCCTTGGCCTCAGCTATGCCTTTGCCGCAAATTATGAAGCCCCAGCGAGAGCGGACCGCATGTGGCCGGATACACCCCCAGCAGCTGCCACTGCGTTCGCCATCATGGGTGCGAATCTAGCCATCTTCCTTCTTTGGAAGTTTCCGCCGGCGTGGCGAACCCTCAATCGCTACTTTATCAATGTTGCTTTCAAGCCCCATCCCTTGAGTATTGTCGGAAATGTCTTCAGTCACCAGCAGTTCAGACACCTAGCGATGAACATGCTCATGTTGTGGTTTATTGGAACGAAACGTGAGTGCCGATGAAAAGCCTCCTACAGCCCTTTGATGCTGACTTTGCCCAGTCCACGATGATATAGGACGAGGCAATTTCCTGGGTCTTTATATGGCTGCAGGCGCTTTTGGCTCCATGATATCTCTGACAGGTCACGTCATGATGGGTCAATTGATGGTCACGTCTCTGGGAGCCAGTGGTGCGATTTCCGGCATCGTCGCGGCGTGGTGTCTGCTTCACAGCCAGTACGTATTAGCATCTTGCACCTTTATTTTCTTTGGTCTCAGAAATTGGAGAGTGCTTTAGAATGGCTGACTGATCACGCACACAACAGGGAGAGATTCACCATCTTCTTCCTCCCCCCTGAATGGCAAGAGGTCATATCCGCCAAAGGATGGGTCCTCCTGACTGGCTTCGTCGCCTTTGAAATTTTCAATCTCGTATCCCCCTTCCGTGTTGTGAAGCTCGATCACTTTGCCCATCTCGGTGGATATCTAATCGGCGCGGTATGGGCCCTGGCGTGGAATGGCGAACGAGAGAAGAAACGCCGGAAGGACAGGACCTGGTTTGAACGGGTTCTGTCTGGATAGACCAAAGTGACAATCTCATGTACTATATGCATACCTCATGTAACAGATCTTTCTCACCTGTCTTAGTATTTGTTAGTTTTGCGTCGTCAAGGTCTTAGTGTAGATCGTTATGTTTCGTTTCAATAAAAATACCCAGCTTTTTGCATGAGAAGAAATAGCTGTCTTCGATGTGATCATAGAGTTAACTCTTTCTTGGATTGAAACATGGTCTTACTCTGATACTTCTAGAACCATATCGCTTCATTGGCTTTTGTAACTCACAAAGAGATCCAGATAGAGAAACTTGTCTCGAAGCCTGCAGCTCTGCTCTGTAGAGGTGATATCTCCAGCACAGAGTCTCTACAGAACATCAACTGGCTTGACCAGCTACAAGCTCTTTCTCCTTCGAAACACCATCTTGACAACTATATCTTGGTCTTAGGTCGCATCAAAGGACGATAGCGAGCACTAGAGACAAATAAAGACATACTGTTTGATAATCCAACCTACAGATCGAGGCTTCAAAGCCGTTCAAGGCAATATAGACCTCCTAGAAAGTGTCTGAAGAGATCTTTGTTTGTTTACTGCAGGTTCTTGCCTGGGGGCCTAAGGCGCAAACAGGCTTCCGGAACCGGCAGTGCAGTGAAGGCTTCACATAGAGCCCAGATCTGCGATGCCTCACCTCACACACCCCGATCAGGTTACGCGGATCGCATCACTGACAGCTCTATTTGTAGATTGAGCTTCATACACATGAAACCTAAGTGTGAGTAGCCTCTTTCAGTCTGACATGAGAGACCTTGGTGGCCAACCAGCCCTATGTATCCTGGTCTTCTGGAGTGACTGAAGAACGTAATCATAAAGACTCGCGTAGAGCCCACTTTAGATGATTAGACAAGAACAAAACATTGCTTTCTGGTGTTGTCCTGCTGTTTTTCGCCACGCTAGCGCGTCCTATCTCTCCTGCTTTCACTGTATGCCCAGCCTCTTCACCTCTCATCTCCATCTCTCTCTTACTACTTCTCTTCCTCTCTGTTCACACACTTCGTTCTAGCAACACCATCCTCCTTAGCTTTCTGTGATATCTGCAGAGCTTCATTAGCTTAATCACTCTTTCTCACAGTATCCTTGGTCCTCTCACCTCATCTCCCTCATCTCCCTCATCTCCCTCATCTCCCTCATCTCTCATCTCACCCTTACCGAGGGCTGACTCCCACACTTCTCAACGCGAGCGACTCCCAGAGACGGAGCTTGCCTCTCTTACAACGCCTCTCATGCCTTCCAAGGCGAAGCGTTTCAAGAAAACCAGAATGGCCCGTCGCTTGCGTCGCTTCAAGATGAGCAGAAGTGACACAGAGATCCGCCTCGCGAATGGGCTTTCCGCCACCGATCTGAAAGTACTTGCGGAAGTGATGGCTCTGGATGTCAAAGACGAAACATATGATGAGTCACAGAGTTCACTCAGCTTCGCAACATGGGTCCCATCAAGTGCTACTGAAGACACTGACGTAGTCGAACCAGAGCCACTGACATTCAACGTCAAGCATCCATGGGGCATAATCGATTATCATCTTTATCTGAACAGCCTCGAAGGGGGAAAAGACATGCATATCAGGCGCGAAAACTTGTATCTGTTCGACGGTACAGACTGTGAGCCCATCAGATACTGCGACCTTTTCGTCCCCGAGATCTACAGCGATGAACATAGCCAGCGAACCCGCCTGCTCTTCTCCATCCTGCCCATTGCGGAAAAAGGCGCAGTCTTCAGCGGACGGAACTATGTCCTGGGCTATGACTGGAAATATAGAATTCTGTTTGCTCGCCATTTCAATTGGATGCCCCATGACGTTTGTGATATTTGGTCTGTGTGGAGCGAAGGCACGACCGTGTACACCATTTCCATCCCCAGGCTGTTTGACCTCCTGGAGGCAACATTCCAGAAGCGGACCGGAAGGGCTGGCGAGGGAATTCTGAGCTCAAATCCTCTTTGCAGAAGCCTTCAAGTGAGCGATGACCCCGGCATGGAGATGGTCATTGCCGCTATGTTCGCCCAGTTCGCTCAGGACTTTATCGATGTCATCTTCATTCAAGGAGAATATCACAAGCAGAAGCTCCGTCATCAACTCGGCCACTATGAAGACCAATGCCGACAGGTCCTGCAGCGTGCGTCGTATCGGGCCTGGTTTGCCCTCCGCGCTGGATCCGCGGGAGCCAAGTACAGAACGGACAAAAGCGATAGCAACGATTCCTTGAGACAGCTCCTCAACGATCTGTATACCTTGGAAGAGGAAGATCGGCAGGAGGAGCAGTCGTACGGCTATATCCCGCACAACGGGGAATGGCATGCAACCGACTTGGAAACTTGGAGACTGCGTCGGGAGGAGAACAGGAAGAAGCGCCGTGAGGAAGCCGTCCGGCGTCTTGAGAGTCTCTTTGCTATACCAGGTGACCTCCCCGAGATCAAGTCTCCCGGCAAGGAATTCGAAAATACCATGGTCAAAGCGGGAGAGCATCCGACGATTGACCCGGATTATCCCCCTGACGCTCCAAGGACCCCCTCACCCCCCTTCCGCCATAGATCGGTTCTACAGCAGATACAATGCTTGAGCCCAGGTTCTCCGGGCATTGTTCGTCCAGCGATGGAGGAATTCGATGACTTTGAGGCGACTGAATATCATAAAATACCCCTGCCTCTTCTGCTTCGACGTACGCTTGAGCTTCTTGAAGAGAGGCCGGAATTGGACTCGCTCGACAACCGGGGCCGATTTGGATCGCTTTTGACCGACCTTGGGGTGCGTGTCCGCAAGAGACCTGTTGATCAGTTCACCATTGCACCGTCACTTGGTTACGAGAATGACAGTTGGAAGTTGGAGGTGCAGACGCAGCCTGAGATCGGAGACCAACCGCCTCGCTGCCTTCTTCCCTCCCCTCTATTTGACTAGAGGTCATGTTCATGTCGTGACGGTGCCGGCGTCATCAAGACCGTGTACTTTTTCCCGAATGATTTCTGTTTCCGTGTTGTTCATTTCATCTGTTGAGCTTCTTCTGTTCTGTTTCTCAGTGCGTCTCAGTTGTTTTGTTGACGTGCTCCCATGTTCATCCCCTTGAATGTTGATTCGATTTGTTTGTTCGTCCTGGAATTGTCCCCTGCACTTTTTGTTAGAGTACGATACCCCTTCTGCATTGCACCTGCTTCCTTTCCTGTGCTGTTATCCTCCTTTTCCTCTTGTGTTATTGTCATCGTCGTTGCTGTTTGTCTTTTCGCCCCCCATTTCCCCTCGAAAATCTGTTCTCCGTCTTTTCACACATTCTGCTTTCGTTTACATTCAAAAATTCCTTTTGGGGCATGAACCCCTACTGGTGTCGACATATCATGTCGGCTTTCGTCACTGGACACGCCTTGAGGCCGCCAAAGATCTTTTGTTCAGAGATTGTTGGGAATAGAAGTCCGGCTTCTCCTCTTGACGGTTTGGTCAGAGTATGAACACATGTCAGAGTCTTGGGACTGGGAAATCGATTCAACAGTCGAAGGAAATCAAAAAAAGAAACCAAAAAAAAAAAGGAAAACACAAAAACAAACGCCAAAAAAAAAAGAACAAGGTACGAGGATAACAGGAGAGAGGAATCAAAGGAAAATCAAAAACACAGACATCAAACATCAAAAGGACAACAACAGGCTCAACAACTTCGTGATGGGATGAAGTTGGTTAGCATGCCGGCATGCACAACCATGTTGATGGCTTGAGGATGGGGAAAGACGCTGAGGTCGATGTCCTAGCTAGACTGGTGTATCGTTAGACCACTGTGAATGGAACCACTTGTCCACGTTGCTTACCTCCACTCAGTAGTATGAACAGCCTACAGGGATTGTAGGCACTTCATATTCTGTCATCAACCATGAATCGAATAGGATGGAGAAAAAAGACGAGGTTGATAAGATTGTAAGGTTATATAAATTCTTCGGTGATTCGGAAAAGGGATGAGGTAAGGACGCAGTGTCATGAGGCTACATGTGATCAAGCAGGTACTTCATTCTACGTACTGAATCTCATCAAGGGCATTTGCAACTGATTACGATCAGTCAGGTGTCATGAGATTGTTGAATGAGTCAAATGTAGATGAGCTGAATATATCTTCAAGATAATCATAATTGATCTCTCTCTCACGGCCACATCAGTTGGTAATGCATCTCTTCAATGCCTATTTCATCAGTGATCTACATGACGAACACTTTCCAGGACAGTACTATTATGGATGAGAGTATATATTGTGCAGGCCCATCTACTCTCAAGCACTTTCAGCCTACATGAGCCAGGGTGGCTCAAATAATTGATAATGTGTTCTCAGTTCTCTCATCTGAGAGCGCTGTGCAGCCTCTTCTGTCAGGTATCACCATGACCTTGTGAAGCAATGGATCAAAGTTCCTCACGTCCTTGTCAAAGCATTCAGAAATTGACAAGACTGCTTCACTAGATCTCTCTACATCAACAGCCAGATAGCTCAACCGCGCGCACCAGCCCTTCATCCCCAACCTGCTGCTGTGCCTCTGCCGCATGCTGAAGGATATCCTGCCACGGAACCATTCGATCCGTTGTCGAGTACAAATAATCCCGCGGCGGCCTGGATTCAAAAAGCTCTGCGCAGGGTCATTGAGAGCCCGTCACGTCCTGGAGATAACATTCTGGTAGAGCTCCAAGAAGTCCAGAATTCCAACCACCCCAACGACCAGGGAGATGATAGCTGCGCCAATGATCCTCAAGGAATATTTTTGGAAGTGCCAGGATCATAGGATTAGCAGATAGGACAGCCGACGAGGTACCAGGACAGCTAACTAGGATTAGCCCTACTATCGGCATCCTGGACGAAGGTAGGCGCTTGTATACGCCTCCACCAGTTGCACTGCGAGGTGACTACCGGGGTTAGAAAAGACGTGGAACATAATACGGGGCTTGGATGTGCGATCGAGACAGAGAAAGGCATTCTATCGCTCTGGCCGCTGGTTCGAACTGCTGCTGCTGGATATCAAGGACGGTACTTGAATATGAAGGCGCCTTAGCATAGGCACCTACTACTTGATATTGATGACTAGTCGGTGCTTCAGCTCTTTGATCGCCCTTATTGTGGATCAATAATCATTACCGAGGTACGGAGTACGTATTATTCGAATCCAAAATGTGGCTGCATGGCTGGCAGTGTGGCAGTGTGGCAGTGTGGCTACACTGTACTGGCTAGGGAAGAGGATTAGTGGATACTGGCGACAAATGAATGAGATAGGTACTCCGTCGCACGATCAGTTCATCTTCCTGACTGGCAGGTGATTGGCCAATTCAGAAAGAAATCCCCGCATGCAGCTCCTCCAGCCACATTGATAATCGAGGGTTCATGGTTCAGTTCAGCCTGATGATGCTGCGTACGGAGTATTCCATCTTATTATGATGGTTATCCTACCTCTGTACCTCTGTATGGGATGATCATTGACTGGGCTCAGCCCTATCGTCACATCATCCATTTCTCTTGATCTCTTCCTTCCGATAAGATCACCAGACTACTACCTACTAGGTATCCATGATCCATCAATCTCTCGATCGCTTTCTCCTGAACAAGAACGAACTAGTCGTTGATCCATCCCAGCTAATCAGCCCTGCTGCCCCCTTCGCTTGCACATCGTGAGCCAGAGAATCCCTGGTCTCCTTAATAATATTAATCTCCTCTTCTCTTTCTCTTTCCTACAGTCATTTGTCTCATTTTTGCTTTCTTCTCTCCTTCCAACTGCATTCTCACTACCTACTTTGATCTGTTGACTTGATACCCTTTTGTTTTTCCATCTTCTGCCCACCAGCCACACTGCGAGGCTTACTCCCCTTGTATTGTTATTGTATGACCCGAACAAGCTCGTAATACCGTCTTGGTCCTCCCGTCATGGCTCACTACTCCAGCCAGCCAAATCATTATGGTGAGCTACCCATCATCACTGATCAAACTCACCATTCTCACTATAACCATGTCACCATGACTAACTATAAGATATTATTGATCAAGACGCCGTTCCAAATGGCCAAGCATACCAAAGCAACGCGCAGGTCGACGTGGTCTGCGGACCTTTGATCAACTTCAAGAACATGACCGTCACCCCCTCCTCCTCTCTCTGGCATGGAAGCGTCTTGATCGTCACGAAACCCGGTCAAAGACAGCCACAGCTGCTCCTGCGACAGAGTGGTCCGGTCGGCGGCAGCAATGCTCCGGTCAATGGCGATCTATCGGCCCGTCAGCCCGTCGCAATCGATGGTTTGCGCCTTTACGAGGATCCCCAGAAAGCCTTCTGGCGCTTCTCCATCACCGTTCCCCTGGAGTCCTATGAAGCGCGCTGGCAATATGACATTCCCGGCTTCCAGTATGCGGAAGCCAATCGGACGATTACACCCTGGAACTTTGTGGTGCCCTCCGTGAACCAGTCCATGCGAATCATGTTCCACTCCTGTAACGGTTTCTCCGTCGGCACAGATATGAAAGCATGGCTGGGTCCCAATCTGTGGAACGATGTCCTTCGCGTTCATGCGCAGAAGCCCTTCCACGTCATGATCGGTGGCGGTGACCAAATCTACAACGACGGAGTCCGTGTGGATGGCCCCTTGAAGGAATGGACGGCGATCGCGAATCCCCATAAGAGACGGACGCACAACTTCGATAACTCACTGCGAGCCCGATGCGACGAGTACTACTATGCAAACTACATCAGATGGTACTCCACCGAGCCGTTCAAGACCGCCAATGCACAGATCCCTCAGATCAATATCTGGGACGACCACGACATCATCGACGGCTTCGGCTCGTACACGGACCACTTCATGCGGTGCGCCGTCTTTCGCGGCATTGGAGGCGTGGCGTACAAGTATTACTGCCTGTTTCAGCATCACCTTGCCCCGCCAAAATCTACCTTCACCACAGATGCCCCGCAGACCATGCAAGCGATCAACGGCACGGCAGGTGCAGACCCCCGGCAGACAGAGAACACCTTTGTCCTGGAAAACCAGCCCGAGGACGACAGTTGGATCGTTGCGAAGAGCCATGGGCCTTATGTAGAGGAGAAAAGTAGGAATCTGTATATGCGCCTGGGCAAGCGGATTGCGTTCATCGGCGTTGATGCGCGCACAGAACGGACCCGGCACCAGGTCAATTACCCGGAAACCTATGATCTCATCTTCTCTCGTCTTGAGCATGAAGTGACGGTGGCCAATGGGGATATTAAACATCTTGTGGTTCTCCTCGGTGTCCCCATTGCGTACCCCCGCCTGGCCTGGCTTGAGAACATCTTGAGCTCCCCCGTGATTGCGCCGATCCGCCTGCTGAACAAGCGGTTCGGTCTCGCTGGCGGCTTCTTCAACCAGTTTGACGGCCAGGTCGACTTGCTGGACGACCTGGATGACCATTACACTGCCCGCCAGCACAAGCGAGAGCGACGGATCTTCATTCAGCGTCTTCAAGCCTTTGCCGCCGCCCATTCCGTTCGCGTGACCATCCTAGGCGGAGACGTACACCTCGCCGCGATTGGACGCTTCTACTCGAACCCCAAGCTTGGCGTCCCGAGCGAGAGTGATCCTCGATACATGGTCAACGTCATTAGCAGCGCAATCACCAACAAGCCGCCCCCGAAGGCTGTTGCAAACCTCCTAGCTCGCAGGAACAAGATCCACCACATGGATGCGGATACAGACGAGACGCTGATGGGTTTCTTTGACAAGCAACCAGGCGGCGTGGAAAAGAGTGGTCTGTGGAACAAGGTGACCATGCCATCGCGTAATTACGCTTGTATCACCGAAGTTGACACCCCGTTCACCAATGGTGATGCTGGCAACGGGTACCAATCATTCCCTATCCCTAAGAACGGCCACTCGCCGCTGCACAAGGGCGAGGATGGTGCAGGCTCTACCCATTCGGCTGCAGA